GCGAGTCGACTCGTGAGTCTCGGGCTACTTTCTGTATACTTAAGCGTCATACATACGTTATCTTCCTTAATGCAATTACCAGCAATTGTTGCTGATATCGCGAAGTTCAGCGGGTTAAAATGCATATTTTATAGGGTTAATCGCATTTGTGCGTAATTGACCCTCGACTGCGGGCGTTCGCCAATCGTCGTTCAATCGATCTGTAACTCTCACTCATCGAAACATTATCGAACCTTGAAAAACCTGGAATTGTTAGGGAATATATTTATGTCTTGGAAATCAAGGAACTTTTTTTGAAATATTTTTTCTAATATTTTATCTTTAAATTATAATCGCAAGTTTGTCAATTACATTTTTAACAACAGTGGATCTATCCACTTTAAACGTCTCAAAGTACGCTGATTTTACAATTAATCCAATATTCAGTATTGAAAGTACAGATTTTGTATTAGGTGTAAGTTTGTTTAATGAAAACTGATATTTATTTCAAGAGTTTTAAAAAAGTTGAATTTTGTACCGGTTATGTTATTGTTATTTATTGAATTATATAATTGTTTATAGCCTGTGAAACTAAAGTTTGAAAATTTTAATAATATAAAATTTTTATTTTTTAAAATTGTTAGGTTTTTTTTCCAAATTTTTCAAATTTGATTATTGAAACTCAAATGATTCTTAATTTTATTTCATAATTTATAAATTTTTATGGAAATTTTTTATGGAATGGAAAATATTAAAAACTTTGTAAAAATATAAAATTTAGTTGTAAAATACATTTAAAATTTGTTTTTAACAAATTGCCTTGAAAATCAAAAAATTTTTTTTTTTTGTAATAAATATTTTGTTATTCGATATCTTCGCGTCCTCGAACAATCGGCTTCGTTAATTGAAAATTATAATTGCACGATCGAGATAGGCGAATTATCGCAGATGGTAAAAAAAAATATAATATCATTCTTACTGCGCTATCATTTATCTCGATTGGAAACTGTATTTTCCTCGTGTATGGATCTCCAAAATTTTTCCTTGTATGACTTGCATATCTCCGGAGATGCGCAAACAGTTGTTATATTCGTGTGGCAGAAGGTAGCAGAAGTCTTTCCGACACTCTTTGGCATCGATCCTGTTATCAGGCTCACGTCAACTCGCTCGCTCCAACCCAAATTACACGGCGAGTCGAAGTCCTTTTATTTTTAGCCATGCCATTGGCTCGCCTCCTAGATTTCGCGTAACAACAATGCACGCTCGCGAAATATTATCATTGGCATATCTGCATCGCGGTTCTTTTCTCGAAAATGCAACTTCGCGATGCAACTGGACAGAAACTGGGTATTGAGAACGGAAATTATCGCGCGAGTGATGGCTTTTTCAATTGTCGTCGGCTTGACGAAGTCTCGTTTGATTTTTTTTTTCTTTTTATTTTTTATCAATTAACGTCGAGTTTGTGGACGATTTGATCGCGTGAGTGTCTCGTCGAAAGGACGTGGACTCGCGTAATAAGGGTCAATGTTGAGTACGGATTGCATTCAAGTGCAAGCCTCGTCGCGTCAATCTCGCCCCGGCACTACGTAATCGCTGCGCGCTGCCACGCGTTTACGTAAAAAATAAGGAGCGCGCGTTATCGTGCAGACGATAAGAGCGCGCGACGAAGAACGATCTTTGAACCGAGCCCCTCGAATTTGAAGAACGTTTAAAGGTGCACTGCGTCGATACGCGACATGATACGTGACATATTTCATCTTCTTGATATAAATCTAGGACTTTTTTGACGGAAGAAAAAAAAAGAGATTTTTCTTTTTAATTTTTTTATATTTAAATATATTATGTAAGAGTTGTATAAATTATATTTTATAATATTTTAATTTTAACTCGTCGGAATATTTTGCAAAATTTCATACAATATTTTACTCTTGACATATTGCGACATGTATTTTTTTTTTTCTTCTACGTATTTTGCCTCGATACATTGTTGTCCAAATTTGCATTTGTAAGTATTTCCTTATGCAATTTATTTTTAACAAAAAACAAATTTGTTTATTTTTTTCTGTTTGGAATATGTTTTGCTGTGTAAAAATTTGTTGGGTACCGTCTAATTTCTTAAATAATTATTGAAAGAAAAGATAATGGAAATTATTAAAAAGATTAATTTATGACTCTGGAATTTGCTCCGAGGAATAGTACGTTTTAAATAATCTTTATAGACATATAGTATAACGATTAAACTTTTTTAAACAATTAAACTTAAGCTACTATCGTTTTACCGTAACTGTTCCGATATCCGAGTCTTTTAATGATGCCTCAGACAAAAAACAATTAGTAATTAATAAACTGACCCATAATTGACATCTATCTCGATGTTACAGATAAATGAGGCTATAAAGTCCAGTTTTACAGAATTTTTTCTTATTAACAGTATTATTTTTTTCTCTTTTAAAAAGCTAATTATTCATATACTTATTCCATAACAAATTTCGAGCCTGAATATTTCATATTATTTTTCATAAATTGAACGCACGAATATACTTGTCACTAATTAAAAATAATTCGCTTCTTTGAATTTCCCTCAATCTATAGAAATCTGTTCCAAATTTATTCTTATGCAAATTGAAAAACTCTATTCGTCAAAGTCTCATCGTTTTCGAGATCATCGTGACTTGACTCGGCGTTCTCGTCTCGATTTCGCTCTTCACCTTGACTTAATTATCCGCGAAGTGCCGCATTACGTGTCCGCGCATGTTTCACGAACGGAATCCTGTCGCGAGAACGTCAGAAGGCATTCTCCTTCTCCGGCTGCATAGGCGCTCAACGGGATGCAGAGATAAGCGATCTCCGGGCCGGAGCGCACATCACGCGACTTTCGCTTCGATCGACAAAAAAAGCAAGAATTAAGCAATCTCTCGGATCCACGTATCCGACGAACGTGCCGTAATCCGAAGTCACGTGGCACGCCAGTGTCTCTACGCGTCCGCACGCGCGTGCTTTGGCATATGCGTGAATGTGCGATAACGAGCCGATCTTCACCTTCCCTCGTCCAAAAGCCTCGGCATTTCCGCCGAATATCACAGCCCCGCTTATCACCATTTTTATCTCGCATTTTTTTTTTACCGCTACTTTTGTATCATTGTTATAAATATTACCGATTGTTTTATATTTATTGCGATCGCCGAGGCCTCCCGAATCTCCGTTTCGACTCCAAAACCCGGTCAAGGGTCTCCCGCCTGAATTATCAGCCGACGTCTAAATTGAGGCTTTTATCGTGTTAAGAATAATAATAATGATAAATACTGAAGAATGAGCGATCGTGTGAAGGGTTAATTCTCGCCGGTGCGTTTCCGCGAGCGGCATGCTCTTTCTTGATAATGACCTCGAACACAAGACCCCGCGATCTCGTTTCTTATCTGACGTTTCACACGACGTTCGATGGTGCGTGTTGAGATGAGAAATTATGATTATGAATTTTTTGTTGTCTCGTCACATGTAAGAGCCGATTACAAGTTTAATGAGAAAATCATAATCGTGTCTGCGTAATTGAGTAGTAATATCCTTTACGTAAACATAAAAATTACGTTCTTGGATCATCTCAAATTCTTAATGTTTACTCTTTGTAAACATTACAAAAATAAATTAAATATAAAGAATTTCAACTATAGAATTAAATTTCGATAATAAATATTTTGATTTCAATTAAATTGTTTTCTTTTGTATCGTTAAGCTTTTCATTTACTATTTTTATTCTTTTATATATTCTTTTATTCCATCAGGGATATACTTGATTTTTCCAAAATGAGTAAAATCTATATGAAAATTGCTAGATAATGTAATAAAGCTTTAAGTTTTTTTAAATATAAATTTTTTAACGTATAAATTTAAATGATTTGTTAATCTTTTATTTTTTAATACTTTTACAAGACAACATGAGGCACGCATACTTGGTGCCATTTTCTTTTATCTTTTTGTGAAATAATAATTTTGATAACATATATCTTATATATGTAGGAAATTTTCTTTTTCGATATTTTCTGAACATTCTTAAAATCTGCAATCAAGATTTAATAGAAATAAATTGTTAACTTAATTGGCTGAAAATCGACAAAAAAATTTCAAGTCTACATATTTTTCAAAGATCACGATTCTTGTCATTTTTGTATTAAATTCCTTTTAAAGAATTTAATTTTGTATTATAAGTAAATGTATAATGATATAAATAGCGTATTTCTTAAAGCAAAATGTAATATTTTTTACTATATTTTTATTTTTTAAAATATTACAATTGCGTAATGTGAGTTTCATAAATCACATGAGACAATTGCATGGAAAAACGTAATCATTTTTAGGATTTCCTGTCGTCCTAACAACATAATAATTTACCGACGTAAGAGTATACTCGCGTATGTACCATTAACGATACGATTGTTAACGGTTCGTCGTTTTTACGTAATCATTACACATGTCTCCTATCGTGACGATTCTTTACACAATGCATATGTCATGCATAAATATTCTCTATGAAAGATACCTATTCATCATGAAAACAAAAGATATGTCAGAACGTTGTAAAAAAATAACTTGAATAAAAATAAAATAATATTAAAAAATTGCGTTTTTTTTTTTAAGCATTTGAGTTACTAACTATCTAATGATATATTAATTATCTAATGATACAAACGTCATAAAAATTATACAATTGAATTTATTGGAGACAAAAAAGTCGTTCTTTTCTTCTGCAGAAATTTAAAGAATTTTATACGTAAAATTTTATTCAATAAGACGTTTTTCCAACTACTTCCTGTCATTTTTCGAATATATCTCTTTATTGAATACGTAATCGTATTACGTCTAACAAAGGCCATCTATTGAGAAAAAAATGAGATGACTTTTTGTCTAATTTGTATCTATTATCAATTTGCATTTATTTTTGAAATTACTTGAAGTTACATTTTGCATTTTGTATTATTTGCATTTTTTTATCAGTTACTTAATTACAATTCCTCTTTTTCTTTTAGAAAATAACGTCGACGGTTTTTTTGCGGCAACTCACCGATGCGTCCACGGATTTGAAGAAGGTTCTCACGGACAGAATTCCAAAGGAACAGGAACGAGTTAGAGCCTTTCGTAAGAATCATGGTTCCACCAAGGTTGGAGAAGTCACCGTCGATATGGTATGCATTTTTAACTCTACATTAATAAGTTTATTATTATCGTAAAATTACATTTCGATAAGATAGTTCAATCTTAACTATTTTACAAAATTTTAAATTTAGTTTTTAAATTTAATTGAAGAAAAACTTTATTTACTAGATATTTATTAGACATTCTTATTTCTTTTTATATATAAAAAACGATATCATCTGTTTACATTCTATTCAATTAAGATTTCATTTTTCTCGCGATTTATTTTATCAAAAATTTGCACGGATTGCACAGATATTCACAATTATCATCGATAATTAGAATAATCATGAATGACGAAGGAAAACGAATCGATGTGATATGACTTGTTATTATTTGTTAACAGTTAGAGAATATATAGCTTGATTATGGACCGCGTGCTTGTTATGTGATCATGATAACTGCAACAGGCATTGACAATTCCTGATCGTCACATGCGAGTTTCTTTTGGCGTCAATAAGCAGCATATTTTTTCGCCGATTATCGGCCGAATGCAGCACGTGGCGATTAATCGTTATTGAACAAGTCGCAGGCTTGCATGTGACGATCTCATTCATGCATAAAGACGTTCATTGTTTTCTGTATGTTTACTTTTATTTATCGCCGATTTTTTCCTTAATCAATCTATTAATGCAAAATGCACGAGGCTAATGATATTTTTAAAATGAATCTAACTTAGAATATTGTTAATTACTGAAAAAATTAGAGATATCTTCGAATGAAATGACCAAAAAATTTAGAACTGATCTCTCATAATTTATTAATTTTTTAAAAAATTGATCAAAATAAACCAAAGAAGCTAGAAGATCTAAGCGACTAAAGAAACTTTAATAAAAAATAATTGGCCGCATTCAGTAAAATGCGTAAAATACGTTTTACTTCTCTAGATCTGAAAGAGTAATCCAATATCATCATAGAAAATTTCCAATAGAATTGCAAAATAAACATTCTGTTGAATGTAACCATTGATATTTAATTAATATTAATATTTTCATTTCATTCAATTGACTAATATATTTTTCTCTGAGCGCAGATGTACGGCGGTATGCGCGGCATCAAGGGCCTCGTGTGGGAGCCGTCGGTGCTGGATCCGGAGGAAGGTATACGCTTCCGTGGTAAATCGATTCCCGAGTGCCAGAAGCTCCTGCCGAAAGCGGCCGGTGGCGCGGAACCTCTGCCGGAGGGTCTCTTCTGGCTGCTGATCACCGGCGACGTGCCCACGGACGCGCAGGTGCGGGCCATCTCTCAGGAGTGGGCGTCAAGGAGCTCGTTACCTGAGCACGTGGTCAAGGCCCTCAACAACTTTCCCAAGACGCTGCACCCGATGACGCAATTCTCCGCGGCGATCACGCTGCTGAACAGCGAGAGCGAGTTCGTCAAGGCGTACAACAAGGGTGTGCACAAGAGCAAATACTGGGAAACCGTATACGAGGACTCGATGAATCTGATTGCTAAATTGCCGGTGGTGGCCGCTACGATTTACCGTAACATTTACAAGGGCGGCAAGGGCTTGGGCTCGGTGGACGCCGGCAAGGATTGGTCCTGGAACTTCGCCAATATGCTCGGCTACGACAATCCGCAATTCATCGAGCTGATGCGACTCTATCTGACGATCCATTCGGATCACGAAGGCGGTAACGTGTCCGCTCATACTACCCACTTGGTGGGATCCGCTCTGTCGGATCCGTATTTATCTTTCGCTGCTGGTATGAATGGTCTGGCCGGACCACTGCACGGTTTGGCCAATCAGGAAGTATTGGTGTGGCTGGAGAAGCTACGTGGTCAGGTCGGCGACAGTCCGAGTGATGATAAACTCAAGGAGTTTATCTGGAATACGTTGAAGAGCGGCCAAGTTGTGCCCGGTTACGGACACGCCGTACTCAGGAAAACCGATCCGAGATACACCTGTCAGAGAGAATTCGCGCTGAAACATCTGCCGGACGATCCATTGTTCAAGGTAAATATAATACACACTTTCATATGAAGTATTCCAAGCATCATAAAAAAATTTTGAATCACTTAAAATGAATAAAGAATAAATAAATTTTTATTATTCTATTTATTTAAGAATATTAACATAAAATTAAATTAATAACTTTGGATCTCCTAAAATTAAATCTTTGGATTTCCTTTTCAATGTTGTGTATTTATTTAATATAGTTACATTCCACATTTTCATTATTTTTTATTTTAATTTTAAATTAAATGTGTTAACATCAGTGTTTTTTTTTTCTTGCAGCTGGTCGCGCAGGTGTACAAGGTGGTGCCGCCAATTCTATTAGAGACTGGCAAGGTGAAGAACCCATGGCCGAATGTAGATGCGCACTCGGGCGTGCTGCTGCAGTACTACGGCATGAAGGAGATGAATTATTACACGGTCCTGTTTGGCGTGTCACGCGCGTTAGGCGTGCTCGCCTCTCTCGTCTGGGATCGCGCCCTAGGACTACCTATCGAGAGGCCTAAGTCCCTTAGCACCGATCTTCTCATGAAGGCCGTCAAGGCTTAAGATTATCTCGTTATTAAAGATTATTTCATTGGATTGACGATCATTATCAGCGTCACGAAGTCCCGTCGACCTCGATTTTGTTCGAGCGTCGACTGCGGTGCCGGAAATAAGAAATCATTTTGATACCAACCTCGACAGAAACACCTCAACGAGCCCGCGCCTTATCGAACGAATGATAGTATGAATGGAAAAAAGCGAAAGAACGAGAGAATGAGAGAGAGAGAGAGAGAGAGAGAGAGAGAAGGAAAGAAAAAGATGAGAGAGAGAGAGAGAGAGAAGAAAAGGCTAGGTATTAAACACGACAAATAATTACGTCTAATGTATTATCTAAATGTAGAATTATTAAGAGCAGACACATCAATGCGTCAAAAGAGCAGAATTCAAGTTAATTCTCTTCCTGCTGTCGATACTTTCAATTTAAACTTTTAATATGATATTTAAATGAAATATTCTATTAATTAATACATGTGAATTATGATATAATTGCTGACTTAATATGATTGTTTCAAGATGCGATTCTTATCGAAGTATCGACTATGGGAAAAGGTTTAAATGGGGTATTCTCGCAACGTAGCCGCTTACATAAAACGTAGATTGATCCAATAGTGAAAACTGCCAAACTTGCGAGGAAACCTGATATACCGCAGAAAGTCCAGGAAATGTCTTTTAAATATTTAAATATTAAGATTATTAAACATCTCGTCGAAATGCATCTTAGATATGTAAAAGGCGTTTTCTGGAACTTGTTATTTATAGAAACCTACATGAAACATGAGGTAGAGAAACGTGTCAGAAATAGGAAGCATTATATTGTAAATAAAACCATCGCTCAATACATAGCATACACGTTAACTGCCGCTAAAAATTTAGTAGAAACGGCACGAAATTTACAGCGGTGGTCAACGTATTAGCGGTAATCTCAGCGACGTAAAAGCAGTGGAAAATAACGGCTCGAAATCTAGGTTCGTAGAGTTACAATAAGACAATATAAATATTCAGGAAAACATCATTGAAACATGTAAAAGGTACTCTAATATAGATGGTAACATTATTGTCTTGCCTCGTCATTCGAGAAATACACTGCCCGGAAATGCGTATAAACAGATTTCTTTTTCGATCAAATGAATTTGGAAATTTATTAAACTTCCGAGCTGCAAAAATCGACTTATTGCGATTAGAAGATAGATTCTCAAGAGATAGTCAGCATCAGAAGATAGATTCTCAAGAGATAGTCAGCATCAGAATGTCAAGGGATGGGAGGCGCGGTGCTAGTTCATTCAAAATCTCCTTGTTATTAATCTATTGTCTCAGGAAATTCATTCTAACTCATCGTTCGTAGGATGGTAAAAGAAATGCTGTTTGCTTATACGCGAGTTGCAGTAGTTGCGAAATACTTAAAAGCAAGCAATGATGTAGGGGATAATCAAGAACCACTTAAAAAAAGAAAAGTAGCGTCTATAGTCTTGGTCGCATCGTGGTAATGAGCCACACGCGATTCAACATAAAATTAAGAAGCATGACCAGTGGTGGACCCACTGTTATGAGAATGAATGAGCGTGTGTGTATCTTATTTATAATGTGAAATGTGAAAATAAACGGATCAAGAAGTAACTATAAATAAAAAAATTCTTTTTCCTCGCCGAATTCGCAGGATATCATCACTTACAAAACCTGCAACTTTTTTTCGCTAAACGCTTTCCAACAATAGTGAATAAATTCAAGATAATTTAAAATTCAACGAGATTTTGAAATTTTAACGTCAAACAAAATATACTGACTTAGAATCTAAATGAAAACTTATGTTCTTACATTAAAATATAATTTATGAAAATCAGGAAAACAGGATGGAATTATTAGGGTAGATAAAAGTGGAATAGATTCATCTTTCTTATTGATAGAAACTGATTAAATTTATTTGACATTCCATATTTTTAGCCTTTTGTTATTATTCGATAAAATCGTACAGAATTCTGGCTTATATTATACAATTATTAGATAAGACCAATAAATCGAAAGTGATCAACTTTTGTAATTTCGTTATTTCGATAGATTCTTGACAGGTTGGACCGTGTAGAATTTGCAAAACCAGCACAAATTACGATATTTTTTTTCTGCGCGCGCTTGTTTTGCCAATATCGACATGCGTCAAAAAACAATTAACTTACTTGTCTTGTACTTTACATTCCAGAAATAATTTTTTTACACAATTACAGTTAATTGGGAGAGACGGACACGTCCATGGATAAATTTGACAGTGTAAATTCGGCTTAATGCCTCGCGTAGAATTTCGAGGAGCAAATAATTGTGTACACGGGAGATACAACTCTTATGTCATCAACATTTAAGAACTTGTTTCTCAATATGAGAAAGCTAGCGTTAATTAACTTTAAGTTAGGATCTCACTCTGGCATTAGACGGCATTATATCCTTTCTTGCGCGACGATGTTATCAAACACCAGTACTTACCAGTAAATCTTTGCGTGTAACCCATTAATCTCTCAGCACACATCAACAATTTCCTGTCTTTTAAAAGCTACAGTTAATTAATATTATACCTATTGGAGTATTTAACACTATATGATAAAGACAGAAGTTACATTTACAATTTAAATAAAAACAAAGATGAGACAGCTGTCAAAGTTGGGGACAAGGAAATTTCTTTGTGTCAGACTCTTGCCCGTTCATCCATCATCCTGACGGCACACAGTAGCCGCGGGTGAATGGAACTGGAAGATGCATTCCCTTAAATAATTAATAAAAATTTGCGCCTTAGACAATAATTTCACTTACAATAATTATGAGCTATATCAATTAGATATATTAAACTTATAAGTTTCCTCACTGTGTCGGGAAAAGTAAAACGGATTGAGATCATTAAGCGAATCAGTAAGTGGACGAGTTTTTGATTTGAAGCTCCCATTCACCAATCGCGAGACTACGTATGTCGCATGCTGAAGGATATCATCAGTCTCCCGTCGAGCTTTTATCAGCTTTATCAGCCTATCTACCAATCCTTCGTTGTTTTTGTTTCGCACGTCACGTAAGTCATATCTGTTACGTGATCTACCCAGCAAACAACTACATATCTCAGAATTTAATCCGCATATCACAGAGCAGTTTCATATACTCGCTTTGGGAAATTTTTATCAGTCGAGTTACCTTGAATCTGCTCGGATTTTTACATACAGAAACATCGTAAAATCTGCCGGCGTTATGTTTCTTCCCTTTTCTTTTTTTTTTCTTTTTTTACAGAGCTCGTTCTCTTAACGAGAAGTATAAAAAACTATTTACACAGATGCACTTCCGTTGCGCTATTATGTCAACCGAGTACAAATAACGAGTTGCCTCTCTCGTCTATTTTTTTCACTGTTTGTTTTACTGCAGAGGTGGACGGGATAAGAAATCTCGCGTTTTTATGATGAATGATAATCCAATAATAAAATAATTTGCAATAAACAATCGATGTTTCTCTCTCTTTTAATAAATTGATTGATCTATGTATTTATCAACATATTTAATGGTCATTTAACTGATAATTAATCAAGTGTATTTTGCATGTCTCATGGGTGCGCAAAATGGTTATCTTTCTTTTAATCTGCGTTTGATAACTTGTCATCTCTTCATTTATCTTCATTCTTTCTTAATCTCTATACCAAGTACATTACACACTAAAAAATTGACTTTTAATGATGAATGGTAATATTAAATTTTCTTCTGCAAAATTGCAAAAGAAGCGCGATAGCTGAAAAGGAAGGTTTACCCGTCCACCGTTCTTTAAGTGTTCGCTGCGGCAATAAAGTGATCAAATGCACTTTGAGGGTCATACCAGGAAATTTAAATATTGACTAACCAAAAATGCGACAGTTCACGCCGCTCTCTTCTTTCGTATAACCGTCAAAGTGTGTAACCAGAACTAACTTAACTTAATAACATATTTTACATTCTGGATATTTCATTAGACTTATAAATGACTCTCATAATGTACGTCATGTCTTTTTTAAACGTTCGACGATCCATTCCAATCCCTGATACAACCTAAAACCAATATATTTATTTATTTTAGATTTTCTTTCTCTTCGCGCCAAGAAAAAAAATTCAAAGAGAGATTGTCGACGCTCTTACCCTTCTCCCGTAAGAGCGCAACAGCTCTGTATATGCCACTGATGCTTTTTGATAGATGTCAGGTCTAACTGTCTTGAAATCTCAGCTGCGGTCATGCTGCCCTTCAAGTCTTGCTTGTTGGCATAAACCAGAACATTAGCCTTGCTTAATTCCTCATGGTTCAGCATCGAATACAGCTCTTCCCTAATCACACCAAGTCTCTCCCGATCAGTGCTGTCTATGACCATGATGATAAACTCAGTATTTGTGTAATATGTAGACCAAGCGGCTCTTAGACTTTGCTGACCGCCGAGATCCCACATGATAAAGTGAATATTCTTCCATACAACTTCCTCCACATTTGACCCAATGGTCGGAGATGTATGGACTACCTCGTTCATCAGAAATTGATATAATATTGTTGTTTTCCCAGCATTATCCAAACCGACCATGACTATTTTATGCTCTGAAAACAGCACCATTTTATTAATAATTAATATAAGTAATAATAATTAGTAATAATTAATATAAGTTTTTTTGAAGATCTATGATATAAAATTTTATTTATTAGAAGATACTCGAGATGTTCTTGAAAATACATTTCTGTAGAAAGTAAAATGAATTAAAATTCTGATTTAAATTTCACTTTCTTCAAGATATGAGAAATTTAAAATGAAAGTGTAGAAATATGAAAGTAGAGCATTCTTAAAAATTATATACATTCTTATAGAAACTGAATTAAAATTCTTATTCAAATTTCACTGTTTTTGAGATAGAGAAAGCATCTAAAAATGAACTAAATAGAGATACATAAATTCAAGCATTCTTTAAAAATCATATATATTTTTGTAAAAATATTTCTGTAGAAAGTAATATGAATTAAAATTTCCAATTGAAATTTTATTTCTCCTTTGAGATATAACTTAAAACTGAACCAGATCGAAATACAAGTTACATGTTGAAACATTTAAATTTATCAAGTCGTAGATATTAAAAGCGCGCGATTCGACAACATATGTTAACAGACTAGAGAAAGTAGGCCAATGTCCATATTCGCATAGAATTTCCAAGAATGTCACAAAGTTCGCCAAGTCATACAGCTCTATGTCAGAAACTCAACATAATTGATGGCATCGCAAAGAACGTTCAAAATAAACTCTCGAGCAACTTTTGCACTTTACAACAAGTATCATTAAATGAAAATACTTTTCGATCGTGCAATCAACATTCAATATCAATTTAATATCCAAGTGTCTGGATATCACTCGTTTTCGATTGAATTGTTTACATTAATTGTTTAGATTAATCACGAGTGATTAACGATCAGACAATGATCCCCTCGCACGTGTTGTCACAAACACACATACGACGGTGGTTGCACGAAGCGTAGCGTAGCGTAGCGTAGCGGAGGGACGGGACGAGGTCTGAATCGTCGTAGTATTCACCTTCATTGCCGAAGAGGCTCCAAAGCTTCGCGAACAGCAATCCCATGTTGACTCGTCAGTCAAGGACCAACCGGATGTGTCCGTGCGCCGTCACAAGCCCTGCCGTTTCGCATACGAATTAGGAGAACGTCCCAGGAACAGGGCGGTTCATTGTCTCTCTCGAGGGGGGGTTATGTTCGCTTTCGCGACGGTGGAACGTCGATTACGCGCGACACCGACTCGCGGATCGACGTCATAATCGCGCTAGGACGTCAACGCGGACGCTGACCACACGCGAGTGCGAGCACGACGAAGGCCGAAACTGTGCGGTGAGCGGACTAGGACCGTGAGAGATCGACGAGAGGCGCACGGACAACCTCTCTAGCTCGATCGGGCGAAGCACGACATGTTGCACCTCTGATCGACGAGCGTCCACACGCCCCGCGAGGAGGCGCTTCCTGCAGCTTCGGCCTTCGGCGCCTCCGCCACTGACGGCTTTGCATTCGACGCGAGATGATTTTATAACCCTCGATTTGGATGATTTTATAACCCTCGCTGAGAGGTTCAAGATTCATTGACCCTGGGCGAGTTTTCATGATCCTCAAAGTGGCTTAAAGGTTTAGACACTGTTTGCCATCTTTTTAATATTTGTGCAGTTTAATAAAAAAGAGTTATATAAAGAGTTATATAATTCTGTTGCATATGTATGTGGCCTGGGTTGACTTCGCAAGGACGCCTTGGCCAATAAGGAATAAGATGTATACTTGTGAAATAGCTATTAAATTAATGTCATTTTTTAATAATAGTAAACTGAGTAATTTGTTAGTAAATTAAATTCACATGAAAAATTTTAGGAAGACCCAGAGATAATTAAAAAAATGTTATTAATTATTGATACAACATATCTACCTTTTTATCTTTTAAATAAAATTCCAACTTTTTATAATAGAAGGATATATGATTTTTTTCTCAGGTCACTTTTGGGAGCGTTATTCTTCAAACATAAACATTTTACTTCAGCCATTCAGGAAATACAACAAGAACTACTAATTCAATGATTTTATCCTAGAGGCTTCTCTCTCTTAAATGTTTACTTTTACTGATGTAAATTAATTTCAATCTTGGTTTTTAGTATTTTACGTTTTTTTTTTTTATTTAATTTAAAGACTTGGAAAAAGAACAAGTTACACACCGAGAAATTAAAATTAAGAAATGGACAGAAAAGTAGCTCGAAGAATGAAACCACGAAATCGTCGATTAGATAAGCATGTTCACGTTGCGGCAGCACGGTGGTCGCGCGTGATAACGCTGTATCATCATTATCGCGAGTTCTCCTGATGTATAACGTGATCTTGAGCACCGCACGCCGCCTGCGTGCTGCTGACATTGCGCGCTGTGTGATTGGCTTGTAGCATGTCAGCTGACACTGCAGACCTGCGTCTAAAGCATACGTTCTCGAACAGCCGGAAAGGCATGACCACTTGTTGCTTCTAAGACGTTATCTGACAATACTTCTTAGACAAACTGGAACAAAGACTTACACGCCGGACAGTGGCTTGATTGTCTTTGTATTAAGAAGAAAAAGAGAAAGACCTTCCATATTAGACGTTACGTATAAATCTTCATAAAAGAGACTTAGTGCTATAAAAATTCAAGGAAAGAAGAAAAGAAGAAAAGAAAATCTTGTAGTATTTTCTGAAACATATTTATTATATACCGGTCACATTTTTCGTCACGAACATGAGTACTCAGTAAGTACTATTCAAATATTTTTTCAAAATAGTAGATTTGTACATAGTTGAAAGAAGAAAAATATGAGATTCCTCTTTTTCACTGAATCTTACACGAATTCTTTATGTTTTTTTAGGGTGGCGGATATCGCCCTTATTGGTTTGGCAGTCATGGGACAAAATCTAATTTTAAATATGAATGATCATGGATTTGTTGTATGTGCATATAACCGTACAGTGGACAAAGTCAAGTCTTTCCTTGAGAACGAAGCCAAAGGCACAAAAGTAATTGGCGCTTACAGTTTAAAGGAAATGGTTGATACCTTGAAAAGCCCCAGAAGGATAATGCTGTTGGTTAAAGGTAAGCTGTTTCAGAAATCCAAGCTTATATATAAGAGAATGTGATTATACTACAGCTTGCATTTATATAATACAGCTGGCACAGCTGTGGATGCCTTTATCGAACAACTGGTACCTCTTCTCTCTCCTGGAGACATTATTATTGATGGTGGCAACTCCGAGTACCAAGATACTGAAAGACGTACCAAGGATTTGGAGCAGAAGGGAATTCTCTTTGTGGGTAGTGGAGTCAGTGGAGGAGAGGATGGTGCCAGATATGGACCGTCCTTGATGCCTGGTGGCAATCCCAAAGCGTGGCCACATATCAAATCCATCTTTCAAGTACGGCAGTGCTAGTTTATGTTGTTTAATTTCTGAGATATAATCCGCTCCATTATTGCGATGCTTTTTAGTCGATATGCGCAAAAGCTGATGGTGAGCCATGTTGCGACTGGGTAGGCGAGACTGGCGCGGGACATTTCGTTAAGATGGTGCACAATGGCATCGAATACGGTGATATGCAGATCATCTGTGAGGCGTACCATCTGATGCGGAGCGGCTTGCAACTCACCCAGGAAGAAATGAGCGTAGTTTTCGATGAGTGGAACAGAAGTGAGCTAGATTCGTTCTTAATTGAGATCACACGAGATATTCTCAAGTATAAGGATAATAAAGGCTATTTGCTCGAGCGCATCAGAGATACCGCCGGTCAGAAAGGCACTGGCAAATGGACAGCGATCGCCGCGCTAGATTATGGCGTACCGGTCACACTAATTGGCGAGTCGGTCTTCTCGAGATGCTTGTCCGCGCTGAAGAATGAACGTGTGGAGGCGAGTACGGTGCTGTCTGGTCCGGAACCGGTATACAAAGGCGACAAGAAACAATTTCTCGAACACTTAAGAAAGGCTCTGTACGCCGCGAAAATTATCTCATATGCGCAAGGTTTCATGCTGTTGAGAGAAGCAGCCAAGGTTCACAACTGGAACTTGAACTACGGTGGAATAGCATTGATGTGGCGAGGTGGATGTATAATAAGAAGGTATGACTGGCCGATATATGTAAGATTTATGCGACTTTTAAATCGTCTCTCTCTAGTCAATGCCACACTAATTCTTTTTACGCGACCTACATTGCCTTTGAGTGAATGGCAAATAAATATGAGTGTCAAGGCTGTAGAATGTGTCTCTCAAAGACATTTTATATCTTTTTTTTGGAGCTGTCGGAAATTAAATATCCTTTTTTTATGAGAGAATATTATAGAGAAGTAGTGCACAAGTAGTTTCCTTTTATCTTCGACAACAAACATGTTATGTCTATGAAAATTATCATAGTTGTGCTCATAACTTTTTTTTATTTATCAATATTTCCAAATTTACTGAAAATCTATTATCTGAGAATTATGATATTAATCATTTTTTCGAAAACTATATGAGATAACGATCGGGTTTATATTTTGGAAATTTATTTCAACTACGAACAGAAACTCACGAGATAATATTTATTTCTTTTAAACATATTTTTTTTTTAATTAGAAATTGTGCAATTACAATAATAATTTCCTTGCAGTGCATTTCTCGGAAATATAAAATCGGCCTATGACAAGAATTCGAAATTATCCAATTTATTGTTGGATGACTTTTTCGCCAAGGCTATGGACACGTGTCATCCGAGTGCCAGAACGGTGGTGAGCGCTGCCGTGACAATGGGTATACCGACTCCTGCTCTATCGACAGCTTTGGCATTCTACGACGGGTTCAGAACCGCTCGATTACCGGCAAATCTGCTACAGGCTCAGCGAGATTACTTTGGCGCTCATACATACGAATTGCTTGGTCAGGAAGGGAAGTTTGTCCACACCAATTGGACCGGACACGGTGGAAAAGTGTCCGCTTCCACGTACGATGCGTAAAATCTTCGTACGGTAAAATAACTACTGACAATATTTAAATAAATTTAAGTGAAGAAACGTGACAATACAGTGTGCAATAAATGTATGTAATTTATAAATTGCAATAATTACGTGATAATTGCATAGCTATGACATGACGAATAAACTATTCGATATAAATGATCTTATTGAAAAGAGCTCTATATATATATATACATATAAGGATATATATGAT